ACGTCACGTCAATCATTATTTTGGCACTTCAGTTCCAGGTGAAATTTTTCTAATGTTCTTTTAATTAGGCTGCATGTAGGCTATTAATGATTACTTTGTGGGTTTGATTGGTCTAAAAAGCGGCAACATACAGCTATAAGGACAGTTTGCTCTCACAAGTTCCACATTTATAGTCACACACACACACACACCGGAACTTGGCGCGCCCCACCTGTCACGTCTCAATTCCCCACCAGTGGGTCGCGCCACACACTTTGAGAACCGCGGCTTTAGGATAAGATTTCAAGAGATAAAAGGTCATGGCTACAATGGTTTAATCAAAATTATACATTTAAGAAAAAAAAACAGCATGCCTACAGAGCGAGGGATGTAAACAAAACATTAACTTTGGATTGTTGAAAAATGTTAAAAATATTAGATTGCAAATTTGTTCCATTCTATTAGAGGATGATCTTTAATTTCCTGGAGGATCATCTAAATAAGTGGTCCTCCTAACTGTCAATCATTCTGGTGATATGTTTACGTACGGCCGTCCTACGTGCTCGTCCCGTTAGCTACCGTTTTCTGCACATGCTCACTTTCAGGTGTATATCTGTGGTGAGCTACGGTTTCAGACAGTCATTGAAGCTCACCTTTCTCACCGCGGTTCTTTGAAAATGGCCGAAGGTCGTAAGCGAAAAGTGTCTATTAAGTGTATAAGAAAAGAAAGGCCTCAGAAGAGGAAGATATATCCCAGAATGCTGTTGAACAGCAAAGCATTATGGGATTTGGTGTCACAGCGGCCCGCTGTCGCCATAGGCAGTTGCTATCCAACAGCTGCGACTAATAAAGATGGTGCAGGCACCGCGCGGTGGAGGAGGAGTTACGTGAACAACAAAGCAAAATGTAGTGATGATCAGTCTGAATGGTGAGTTAACGCAGTTCACTATAAAGTTCACTATAAAGTTCACTATATATTCCCCGCTGTATGTGGACACAGTAAGCTTGTATGAGCTATGAGAACAGCACATTTTAAACAGAGCGTGCATGAGGAGAAATGGCTCGTGCACACCCTTGCAAGCGTATTTTAGTGGAGAGGGCGGTTCTTTAAAAAAAAAATCCTCCACAATAACTTTAATTGATACCATCACCTTAAAGGAATAGTACACCCAAAACATGAATAGCCTTCATTTTCTAATCACCCCCATGCTGAACAACACTCTGGAGTACTTTTTTGATATCTCAAATGCATCTGGAGATCTGGGAGGCTTCTTGCTGTCTGCTGACATTCAAATAATGGAGGTCTATGGCGCCCGAGGCAGAAAGGTCCATAAAAGTCCACAAAAAACGTGTCAATATTCCTCCATACTGCTCGTCCAATGTATTCCAAGTGTCCTGAGTGGGTAGCGTCCATAATTTACTCGAAACAAAGTCATTTAGAATGTTTTTAGAGCATAAACAGTAGTGTATAGGATTTCCTAAAAGCGCGTTCACGAGTCTACGGAAACCGCGGCAGACCAAACCAGATGAAAGTGCGCATTCAGCGTCTGCTCTGCCAATAATGCAAGCGTAGAAGAAGAAATGTGCTGTTTACCTGTGCAAAGAAAGAAACAACGAAAGAAAAATGTCTGAGGACTTCAGTGTTGAGGAAGAGCATGAGTTCTTTGCCGAGCTGAATGCGCACTTTCATCTGGTTTGGTCTGCCGCGGTTTCCGTAGACTCGTGAACTCGCTTTTAGGAAATCCTATACACTACTGTTTATGCTCTAAAAACATTCTAAATGACTTTGTTTCGAGTAAATTATGGACGCTACCCACTCAGGACACTTGGAATACATTGGACGAGCAGTATGGAGGAATATTGACACGTTTTTTGTGGACTTTTATGGACCTTTCTGCCTCGGGCGCCATAGACCTCCATTAAGGATTTTTTAACAAGTTGTAACGTTACGGCTGTCCACTAGAGGGCTCCCCTTCTCATTCTTAGCCTCGCTGGCATTTGGAAGAGAAGTAAAAGTCTCATGATTGACGCCTAGAGAATCCGCCCCTCACAGCATCTGCAGCATTTAATGTGGCGGCGCGGCCCGTGTGAACGGATCAAATGCATTTGAGTTAATGTATCAAAAGTGGCAAATAGCCTGACAGCAGGTCAGAGCGACATACCTCGTCTTGCTTTTCAGAAACTCGCTTTTTTTATTTTAACAATACTTAAACTACATTAAGTTAAATGTTTGCTAGCGCTAACTGTTGATTAGCATTAGGGTACCTGACAGCTAGCTCGCAAACAGTAAAGAACGAGCGGGTGAGCGTGAGGAACCTGGAGGAGTTAACCTTGTAGCTATGATGAATAAAAACGTGACACCGACAGGTAAAAGCATTTGTATGTACCGGGTCTGCCAAGGGGTTTCCATGGTTTGGCGTCATCTCCACGGCGTGGGCCATCATCCATGTCTCTTCTAGGACCCCAGTCGTCGTCAGCCCCACGTCTGGAACCCCTTGACTCATCAAGCCCCCTGCGAGGACCTCTGTCATCATCGAAGCCGCGTCTAGGTCCACGGTCATCATCAAAGCCACGTCTCGGAGCACGGTCGTCATCAAAGCCTCGGTCAAAGCCGCGTCTAGGTCCACGGTCGTCGTCGAAGCCTCGTCTGGGCCCGCGGTCGTCGTCGAAGGCTCGTCTGGGTCCGCGGTCGTCGTCGAAGGCTCGTCTGGGTCCACGGTCGTCGTCGAAGGCTCGTCTAGGTCCGCGGTCGTCGTCTCCGCCTCTCCTGGGAGCTCTGTCATCATCAAACCCTCTGCGAGGAGGACGGTCATCATCCATCCCTCTGCGAGGAGGACGGTCATCATCGCCTCCACGGCGAGGACCTCGGTCATCTTCAAAGCCTCGGCGAGGTCCTCTTTCTTCGCCGTCCCTGCGAGGAGCATCCCCTCTCTTGAAGGGTCCCTCTTTTTCCTCCTTGTTGTCCTCTCGGCCTTCCTGTCTCCAGTCCCTGCAGAGGAAAGAAGGTCACCGCTCAAATCTTGACAGAAACTGAAGTTGGAGAGTAGAATGAATCTGCGAAGCTACACACCTGTCAGGAACTGGACGACGCCATTCTGAGTCTCCTTCAGTTCGCTTTCTCCAGCCTCCCTCCTCTTTCTCATCCTGTCCAACAGCAACAGATTATAATTAGTGCTGTAATGATTCCTGAAGCGATTCAAGGACCTCAATTACTAAAATTCATCAAGGCCATTGATCTTCGTTTGATTTAACACCCACCGCCCTGCTGATACATGGATGCTGATGGACAGCCATGATACTCTGAAAAGTCTTGATGCTTATAGGCTGTATCCGGATAAACTACTAATTTTGCACGGAATCAATACTAAGTAAAAGGGTTATTCGCATTTTTTTCTAATATTTAATCTTATATATTAGTAGATTATTTGCAGATAAAAAAATAACACCGGAAACATTCAAATATTGTAAAATATCGTTATTTTACATTTACTTGTAGACTTAACCAATAGAATCTGGGATTCTGTTGAAAAAGCACATTTCATGTTGAGATTGAAAAAGATGCGTTTTTCTAGAGAATAATAAACATGTTTATGCCTTTTACTATTCCAATGGAATCGTAGAAAACGTAATAAATATTTCCCTGGGTTTGAAGTTATAGTACCTAGACAACCCTATTCATAAATCAGCAGTTTACCTTTTTGATGAATATTTATTATTTTATGTGCTTTGCAACCAAAAACAATAATTGTGTATCTTTACCTTTAAGTAATCTAGACGAATTATGTTTTATATAAATACAATAATGCTTTATAAAGCAAAAATAAGTAAATAAATTAAAAACAGTTCATTTTCTCATAAAAAAGAAAAAAAGGAGATATTTGCATTTACTCTAAGCATTCCTATTATTCATAATAGAATCTTAAGGAACAGGTGAACCATCTGCAGGAGGTGGTTTCTGCCCAATAACTTAATTATTTTTAAGCATATTTGATAGAATAATTTATTGCTAACATACGCTTGTTAGAGCCCTAATTAGAAACCCTAATCCACTAAAAAGTGGATCAGACAGCTGCAGCTGATCCAGAACGCTGCTGCCCGTGTCCTCACTCAGACTAAGAAAGTAGAGCACATCACCCCAGTTCTAAAGTCCTTCCACTGGCTCCCTGTATCTCAGAGAATAGACTTTAAAAT